AGCTTCTTTTCCACAATATGTTATGCCTGAAAAGCCCAGAAAATCCTTCCCTGCTCTTCCCGCATCTCTCATGGGTGGTTTTCCACACAGCAGAGAGGCTGTTCGGGGGCTCTGCAGCCCAAGGGGGCCACAGGGCGGCCGCCCCGCTTTGCTCCAGCCACAAAGCTGGTTTTCTCCTCATTTTTAAACCCTGCTGGTAGCCATCCTTAGCTCTGTCGGGCATTCCTGTAGGAGAAGCCTCCAGGGCATCTCTGCCCACGGAGCCCCACRTCCCACAGGAACCTCCTGGTGCTTCAGGTCGTGAACGCGGCTGGAGAACGCGGCACGCACAGAGCCGGGCACACCGGGATTCCCGGGATGCTCCAAGGGGCCCAGCACCGATGGACACTTTGGAGCAAAGAGCTTATTTACAGGCATGTTTATGTACCTCCTTCCTCCTSGGAACTGAGCCTATTGCTGCCCACAAAGACCCTCATTCCCATTTGCTGCGGGACCCGCAGCAGCCCAGGTAATCCCACATCCCGAGCTGCACCAGGATGCAGGGCTCACGGCACCCGGAGGACACAGAGCCAACCCCAGCTTCAAAGAACCGCAAAGAAGAAAAACAGGAACTTTAAAGATCTAGGATCCTCACATCTGGCTTCCATCATAGCAGTGGGATAGAGCAAAGCCACGAGCCAAACCTTCTTTGGTCAACCGGGTCTGCAGATGAACTCGCACATCTCGGCCCACGGAGACATTGCTCTGCACACATCCGATCCACGAGGAGCCCGCGGGAGCCCAGGTTTCTGCAGGAAAGCAACGGCCCAGCCCTGGGCTGGAAACTGCACATTTCCAAAGGCTCCTCCGGAGCCCACAGCAGGGACTTTGCCTGAGGACTGCTTGGAAACCTGGCTCTGGAGGAGCTGAAGACGGTCAGTGTGATCATTGCGTGGTCAGACCAAGACGCGCTGCTGCGAGATGCAGGAGTCTGCTCTGCACCCATCTTTGGGGGAAAAGATGTTTTTTCACTGAGCCACGGTAGCAGCACTTGCGTTACGGGATCCAGCACAGAAAGGGTCTCCAGAGCAGTTCAACTCCACAATTCACTGCCWTATGTTTTCAGAAAATGTCAAGCAGGGGTACAACAACACAAGTGAGGAACCTCTTCTCTCTCCCAAGATCAACTTTCAAAAGCAAAATGACCTTTACTTCCTTAGAATGGGCTTATATAGCTGGAATGTTATATTTTTAAATGATACCTTTTCAAACACTTAAAACTCCCGCACTCCATGTGCAAACACACAMGGCAAAAATCTCTGCTTAACATCACGTACAGCACTTTTAGATGACATCTCCTTTTTCCGGGGTGGAAAATCACAGTCAGCATTTGTATATAAATATTATTACACGGCCTGGGAGCGCAGGCCAGGAAAGAGCGCGCGGTGCAGGACAACGTGCCGGAACCTCCTCGCGGCGGCTCCACCGGCGCCCGCGTTTGCGGCATTGACGCTTCGCTCCGACGCYGGAGCAGGAAGATGTGCAGGAATCTGCCTCCACCGCAAGATCCAGATGGAAGCTCCAGGTTGACACCAGGCCACACGCGCGCTGGATCCCGGGCTGTGCTCGGGCTCTGTGGCTGCAGGAGCCGCATGTCTGCAAGCAGTTGCATTTTATCAGGAGCCAGCACGTCTTCCAAGAAGGAAGAGAGGAAGAGACAGCACGGGCCTGTCTTTGCTGCCAAGTACTGCATCTTTGTGATAAAGCACATCTAGTTAAGCAGACCCAACCACGGCGATCCTCTTCCCTAGCCTGCAAGCGACTGGTGGGGCCGAAGATGGGACTTTGCTTTGCTTTTGCACAAGATTAAGTGYCAGCTGAGTTTGCTGTGACAGCATGTGATGCTCTCTACTGGGTGACATGACCCAGAGAGCCAAGCTCTCCTGGAGGGCTCTAAGATCCAAGCTCTCCTGGAGAGCTCTAACCTCGCTCCTCCAGGACCAMAGAGGCGGGAGGTGATAGCCCAGGGCGCTCCCCTCTCCAGACACAGGACGTAACCTGAACTGAGAGCTCCAGCTCTAACGGCAAGTTCCCTTCTATCTATTAAAAATTCAAGCGACCTGCTCTAGCAGTTCAAGCAGCCGTAGGCAGGCATTTGTTTCTGGGAGTCGCATGCTTTTATGCGTCTGCAGTTTGCCTTGGACTTTCAAAACAGAAACTTCCCCACTGGCAAAACACGCTGACCAGTTGTGAAAACCCATGCAAATCCCTGCAGCACAAAAACCTCCAGCAGGGCTCAGCCACATCCATAATGCCTATCACAGAATATTAGACCTTTGGGGGATTCTGCAGCATCCACGTTAAGTAACGCCTGCCTGTGGCACTAGCAGCATCCAACAGAATAATAAAAGAAACTCCATTAGCAGCACAGACTCAGCAAAGGGATCGGCAGGGCAGGCAGATTCCTGCTTGGTGAAGCAGAAGCAGCATTACTGTCTGGACAGGTAAGTGCTGCACTTACGACCACACCTGGGGCCCAAAGGGGACACACGGCATCCCCTGGAGTATGGGGAGTCTCCTGCAAAGTGCTCTTTAATGCACAGGAACTCACAAAAGCAAATAATGAGCAYGTCTAAACCTCCACAAATAACATTTTTCAGTAGTTTTCCTTTCTAACACCAGTTCTTTCCAAAAATATCAAGAGATAACTCAACAGTCTCACAAGGTGTTAGTGTACATTAGATGGGCAGTAGGCAGCTTTTAAACAGGAAAAGAGGGACTTCAGATCAGATTGCGATGTAAATCTCATAATTCCCATAATACTGAGCAAACAGGCCCTTCTATTAGTTCCTCTTCTTTTGGTTTCAATTTCTCCCACATTTTGCATTTGTTTCATGGATACTAAAAGCTGCACAGAACTTCGAGAGGCGCACAAGGACAGTGGAGTATTTTCCATCAGAGATTCTCGSCCGGCACTCACAATTCGGCCTATTTTTGCCCCCGCGCCTCATCCCRCGCTCGTCCAGGCGGCCTCGCCTGCCAGCAAGTGACTAACTTTCTCCCCGAGCCACTTCCTCCTCCCCCGGGGGCACTCGAGCCCATCTGGAGCTTCTCACAACAAAATATTTCCGAAGCTAACCAAAACAGGGGCAAGAACGCGAGCTGCGAGCTCCGCTAGCAGCTCCTCATCCTCACTCTCGTGCTCCCTGCCTGCGAATTAACTTCTGATTTATTGAGGGAAAAAACACTATGGAGCAGGCAAGCGTGCAGGCAAGTGAGGCAGGTGAGGCTGGGGAGGAAGGCAGAGCCACGACCGAGGGCACTGCAGAGGCTGCTGCATCCAGCCTAGCCAGGCCCAGCCCAACTGCCCTACAGCCCCACTGCGACATACAACATTAGGGCTTTTTGGTGGAGAAAAGTAACCCAAAYCCATTAGATTCTGCGAAAGGCAACAGGCTAAGGCTGCATAAGCAAAACGGTTTTTAAGCGTTATGGGAAAAAAATTCCTTTGAAGTCATGTATTTTCCAGCCTATAATTTTTTTTAATGGATAAAATCTGGGTATTTTCAAAGCAAGGACAGGAGGAAGTTAGTCAGAAAAATATTCAAGTGTCAGAATATGGTAATTATACACAAGTATGCGACTCTGTAATATCCAGCCCCACTTCAAAGAGGGGAGGGCAGCATTAATGTTACTGCAGCGCCGCAGCAGTATGAATGGCTATGTTGCTYGTCTTGATTCCCCCCCTCCTTTTTTATTTTTCCTTATTATTTTTATTAGCTTTGCAAGCTAAACGGGAATCGATAGGGACTGGTGTCCTCGCCCGGCAGCCGAAGGTCCGTGCTGAGCTAGGAACCTCTCCAAGAGGCGGGAGCAGCACGCGGCGCCCGGCCACGGCGAAGGCCGCCTCCAAAAGCCCTCCCGCCAGCCCTCTGAGCAGGGGTGTTTTCCTCACGGAATTTTAACTTGGAAGAGTATCTTGGACTGCCACTTAGTCCAGAAGTTATAAATCCCTGAAGATACTTTTTCCATCCTTTTCCGTTATAATACATATTATATATGCACACATTACATCAAAATCTAGGCAGTTAAAAAATACCAAAAGAAGATGAAAATAGGAGACACAAATTGCATTAGTGCTACAGGCCACAGAGGAGTTATGGTTAAAATATGGAGTTAATCATCACCAATCCTGGGGGAAACAGCAAAAATCTATCATATAAAATGTTTTTATAGCATACAGAAGAATACATGACTATATGGCTCTTTGCAGAATATGGACACTGCTTCCCAATCAACGTTTTGCATACTAAACCATAACCTTGGATATGCTATTAACTGATCTGGGAGCTGTGTTGGAATTAAGCATATTCCCTTTTGCTACAACTTTCATAAATGCAGCAGGAGAGAAATATTCCCTCCTGTCTATACACTGACATAGGTATCTCCCGATATCTCTGATCTCTCCTGGTATAAACCCCTTGTCTTTATCAGGCAGATATTGGTCTTATTCTGCCCAAATCAGGATATTTGCTGCATGCTTCCGGACACAACAGCATTTGCACATGCAACTGAATGCGGCTTTGGGGTGCGTCCCTCTGGGAGCCAAGCTGGGAAACCCGTATGTGAGATGCAGAGCACCCCTGCCCGATAGCCGGGCTGGCTGCTCTGCCAGCCTGGCAGCAGCAGAGATCACAGATTTCTTCAAGATCATTTATTCCGGGAAGGCACCACCTCAGAGTGTGCGTCTACCTCCGAGGAATTTTTATCTGAGCCAAGGACAAGTTATTCAGATTTTCAGTCTCAGAGCCTGCCAGCTCACAGAGAATCGATCAATATTAGAAAACATCTTCACATTGACAGAGTTTGGGAAAGCAGGGGCAGAAGCCAGTGTTGCTGGCAGGGTACAGGGGACACCCAAAAGCAGCACCTCCACAGCCCATCTGACCAGCACGGGGCACATATACCAGACACCAGCTCTGCACATAAATCCCTAGGGCCACCTTTTTTGCACTCCCCCTATGGCCAGAGGCATCACTGGACTCAAGGCAGTAGGAACATCAGGCGCTGGCTGGATTCCGCAGCCAGGTAGGGATATCCCATGCATGGCTCACCTCAGTGCAYGGGGAGGCAGATCCACCCCCCAGGTTTTTATGGTGTATTTCTAAGAGGTAGGTAGGTAAAGGTTAGATGAAAGGGTTAGATTAAAAAATATATTAAAGGAAAAAAAAAAAAAAAAAGGAAACTCCAATTTAGAGTTTCCATGCCTGCAATGCATACCAGCATTCCCAAGGAAACAAGGAAAAGCCCAGGCCACCCCTCGAGCAGGCTGGAGGGTCTGGCCCCTGCACAAGAGGCAGATGATCCGATGCCTCCCGCGGGTCCCCGTCCCAGCAGGTCCTGGGCGCTGCCGCAGTAACCGCAGCCACTTCCCGGGAGCTCCTGGTGCGGATCCCTGCGCCAGCCCCACGGAGCCGCCGCTCCCGGAGCTGCCAGGGGCTGCCCCTTGCAGAGCCCCCCTCGAACTCACCAGCCCCGAGGCCTCAAGCTGGCACTGGGCGGAAAGGCCCAGGGTGGCCTCGGCTTGTCCACAAGCCAAGGGACACACAGGAGGATCACAAAGTGTCAAGCTAGACAATGAGGATTTTTTGTCCTCGCTGGGAAAGGAAAAAAGGGAGACAGATAGTGATGGTCCTAGGAAAGGGCGGTGCGAGCTGGACAAATACTTTGCTGCTACATATGGTTTCAGTAGAGCAAATAATACAAACCCAACCCAAGCGGTTCAGCTGAGGCAACGCAGAGCCCTGTGGAAAACAAGGGGGCCGCCCGTCRCCGCACACGGACAGCTCTTCCGCTTCCCCAAGGACACACAGGAGCAGCAAGGGGAAAACGGCTCCGAGCAAGACGTCCGGCCACAAGCCCCTCGAGCAGAGAAACCTTGTTCAGAAACCTGCATCCATTTGGGGTTTCAACAGGCTTGACACGAATAGCTGCTCATTTCCAGCACGAGGAGGGACGTGGGGCAGAGCTCTGCACCCCTGAACCGCCACGCCTGTGGACGCAGCGCATGTCTCCCGATACCAGGTGCTTTCCTTTGCCATCCTGTGGCTCTGGGAGCAGAGGCAATGTGACAMTGGCCAGGTGACACCCCAATTCAGGGGCTCTGTCCACCTGCCCCAGTCTCACAKGGGGGCAGCTCTGGGCAGCCACTGCCTTCACCTGCAACCCTGGGGAGCCCACCAGGAGCAGAGCATAACTGCTAGGCTGGGGCAAAAGCYGGCTTTGTCCAGAGGGAAGAGCCTGTGGGATATGGGACGGGCCAGGGGAGAGCCAGAAGGAAGAGGAGGGAGAGATTAATTCAAGTTTTTTATTATTTCAAGATTACTTTAAAAACAAACAAAAAATCCACCCCACTGGGAGCAGCAGCAGCAATATCCTGAGCTCTGCTGCTGCCGACGTTCTCCCCAGCGTTACACAGCTAATCCCCACTTCCTTCCTCTCCTCACACACGTTTAATGAATAATTCTTCATTATTTCCTCTTTCAGTTTTATTGCTGGGGTTTTGTCAGCAGCTCTAGCTGTGCTTCCCCCAGAGCTGCCGTGCAAGCGGAGCGGCAGCGCCGGGGCCTGGGGAGACGCTTTCCTGTGCCGCGACGAGGGCCTCCCCGRGGCTGCATGGCCTCAAAAAACAGGATCCAGCATCCGTGCCCAGAAGCCTTTCATTGAGATGTTTGACTCCCGCGTTGATGCGGTGTTACACATTCCCAAACCTCTGATCAAGGCTCAGAATTTGTGCACTTGCCAGTGCCAGGAAACAATGGGAGCAGAGCAGGATTTTTGCTCAGGCATCTGCATCACGCAGCTCTGAGCTGGTTTCCAGCACTAAGTACAAAGAGATGTTGTTTTTGTATTAAGTTGCATCTTCTTCCATCATCTGTTTATTCGCTAGTTTTCAAAATGATGAAYGCAGAATTCTTATGCTTGACTATTTCAGAATGATTATACTGCAAAGAACATGACCAATAAATAAGCTACATTTTTAGTAACCATATTCTATTCTTAAAAAAAGGCACTGGTCTCCCCCATCTGAAATATGGCGATATTTTTCTGCATCACCCAGATATGCTGTTCTTTAAAGCTTCTCCCTCCTCTGTCCTTCCCTTGTTAAGCGGTATTTGCCCATGACCCACAAACACTGTTCCCAACTGGAAAGGTTTCTGCCCTCCGAGGCTAACACACATATCTAAACAGCCAATCTCAGAGCACATGCTCATTGAGAGAGATTTTTTCTTCTAAGGTACATTTGACTTAACAAACAATGTTCATATTAGCACTAAATAAATAATATAGATCAGTTTTTACCAAAGTGCCACGCAAGCTTTTAAGGATATGTTCTACAAATAAGACAGAAAATGAGAAAGAGCTCAGCTCATACTCTGCAGATGAGTCTTTAAGCATATATATATATATACATATAAAAATAACTGTTTTTACTGCATTTTCACTGTAAGCAACCTGCCTGCAAGGAGCCGGAAGGTCTCTGCCAAGAGAGGCCTGCGCTGCAGTCACCTCTGCTCCACCCGAGGGCTGAGCCTCCATTTGCTGAAGGACGTTTCTGAGCCTGCAGCGGGTGCCGGCAGAGCAAGATATCCACCAGAACTCACGTCTCAAAGCAGAAAAACACCTCTTGGTTAAATACCATTTGAGAACCTGGCCCTGAGGGCCTGCTTCCCACTGCCTGCAGTGCACCCCACCGCAAGGCCCAAGAGGACTTGCACAAGGCTAAGGAAAAGCTGAGACAACCCAAGTTGTCTCACTTTAATTAAACAGAATCTCCTTCTTCCTCTTGGTAGATTCGTGTAAATGACACAACTCTCTCGTATCTCCTTTACCTTCTCTAAAGGCAAGAGCCACAARATAAATCTACATGCTGCATACACAGCTTGCCATTCTAACATATGGCTTCTACTTGCACGTGCACATAGCTGCTGCCAGCATAAAAGCAGGAGCTGCAATGCCTGAGTGGCAGGACATGCGTGGATGGCAATACCGCAACCAAGAGAATTGGAACTGCAGGTCTGAAGGCAGGAAAAGGAAGCCTAATGCTAAAGGAAACCGATTATTTGCACTGATTAACATCTTCTCAGTACTCAGTTGCACCACAGGGAAGAAGGGCGGGGGGGGAACCACCAGCAGCTGCAGCCTGTTTTCCCCCTTCTCCCTTCTCCCCTCTCGCCCGTGCCCCGAGGCCCGAGCTCGCTCAGATGCAGCCATAAAAGGAGAAGCGGCGCCCGCGCCCGGCTCGGCCCGGCCAAGGTCCGGCCGCCCCCGCGGGCAACGACTGCGGGGCCTGGGGGGAGGGGGGTATCTGGGGCGGCTGCCAGCGACCAAGAGGGGGGGAGGGGCCGGGGGTGTCACTATGGGGCCGGGCCAGAAGGCCCCCCCCCCGTCCTGTTCCCTCCCCCCGCCTGTGAGGCGCCCCCCACCCTTGGCTGCAGCCGCCGTTACCTCAAGGCCGGGCGGGGGGCGCGGTGCATGCGCAGCGGCAGCAGCCTGCCCTCCATTCACAAAAAAAAAAAAAAAAGGGAAAAAAAAAAATGAGAATGCAAGAGCCAGATCCATTCCCCGCAACTCGCAACAAGTCCCTCTTCAGCCCCCCATTCATAAATGCGAGCGGAGCATGCGCCCTGGCGCCTCGGTGCCCACCCATTCATAGAGTCAGGAGGAGGCGCATGCGCAGAGGGGGGTCGCTGCCCTCCCATTCATAAAATAGCCATTTTCCCAGGCAGCGGTGGTTGCAGGATCGCGGCGGCGGCCGCTGACAGCGCCGCGCTCCGCTCCGCTCCCCTCCCTGCCGCGCCTCCAGCCCCCTCCTCTGGCTCGGATTTAGGATTAACTCGCCCAATGAGAGATGCTTTTAGCTGAATTACTTAAAGTAAGTACGAGATCTGTCTTTGAAAGCAAATGATAAATGTATTTAAGTGGAAAAAAAATAATAAAGCCTCTGCCCCCAAGGCAAAATCTTGCACTATTTCTAAATGCATTTCTCTATTCCCTTAAAGATCACTGAAAACAAGCCTATTTCTGATCATGACTTTTCTAACAGCAATTATAGATAATTATATGAGGTAGAAAGCTGCCTAGAGCTTCGCTGTATAAAAAAAAAGACTTTGCATTCTGAAGCACAGAAAGATTCTTTTTAATTTTTTTTTCTGCAGAATTTGCATTTGTTTTCCTGTGACTCTTATTTACACCTCCTTTCTATGTTTTTGCCTTAACATCTGCATTTGGTGTACATATATGGCAGGCAGGTTTTACCATACTTGCGTCAGGGTTATTTGCAGGGTTTTTATAGCAGAATAAGGCTCCTCTCTCTGCTGATGGGATATCTTTTCCCTTATTCCTGCTTCCTTACCTCCAAAGGAGCATATATATGTATGGCCACCTGGACTGACAAATAAGAACTTCATATTTTTTACTTTAGAATATGAAAACTGATTATACAGATCTGCTCTCCTTTCCGAAGCCCTATAGCTTGCAGTGTCAAGTAGTTCCGAGCYGTCTCCATAATAGGACTCTTCAGAGATCAACCACTGGAGTGGCAGATCTTTCCTGCATGACCTTTGCTCCTTAACATTTTATTTCATGCAACTGTTCTTTTTCTTTTCTTTTTCCCTTATTCCATCACTGTTCTGTTCTCTGTCTTGCTGTACACTTGGTTACTTCAGCTTTACATGTGGATGGATTATGTATTTTAAAGGTTAGATAACTCATAAAAATGTGTGAATAGAAGCATTTTATAAAGCTATCTTTGTAATATATATGTAATATATATGGAGGGGGGAAAAACCTGGCTTGGCTGCTCTTCTTTACCAACTGCGTAGCAAAGATAAGCCAGGATTTTATTTTCTGGTACCAGTCCTGGCRTCACAGGAGAAAGACAAGCCCTGAGACGACATGTTCTGAAAATTCATTATCAGAGGGGGAATGGAAAAAGCAGAAAGGGCCATGTATGAGGCATGGAGGTCCAAGAGGAAAGCAGGCTTGGAAGTGCAGACCTTGGAAATGGCAGTGCAAATAATATCTGC